ATATTTTTTTATTTTGTTTACTTTTTTTTTGCTGAAAATAATGGTGTAAAGGTTTTTAAAAAACTATACAGTATGTATCCAACATGAATATAACCATTGGCACATGCATTCGATTTTTAAAAGATTTTTTTCTTTTCTTTATCTCGGATTCTCTTGTCTAATTGTCATTGACCCAAATGCTAAATCCTTCAGCAGCTGCCAGCTGTGGTAATGTTGGCAGAATGCATGAAATGGCTTAAGCTTTTATCATCGTTTTTTTTTTGGCCTTATTAAAATTCACCTTTAATGCCGTTTTTCCACTTGGTTTGGCAAAACCGAAAATAGCCTGCTTCCTTTACAGGGCCCATCTGAGCATGTCTTATCTCAAATGGTGGGGAGAGGTACTTATCCAATTGTTTGTGGATCACTTGGCAAGTCAAGAAAGAGATTGAATAAAGAAAGGGATAGAAAGATGGGAAATCACTGTAGTGAAAATGAGCCAGCCAACAATATTTGCATAAGTGGAATCATTGCTGCCCTGCTATTGGATTAGCCTAGTGAATATGCTAATGTCCGGGGATGGATGATGGAGGTGGGTCTTGTGGCTTATCACTCTCCTACATGCCCCCTGAAGGTGGTGAACCTCGGTCCCGTGCAGCAGATTAGGGTACTTCAAACAGTGCAGGGGTCCCCCGGGAGTAACGTGTTCAGATTTCAGAGCAAATTAGCAGACATCAAACAAGCAGGACGAAATGCTGGATCAAAGGAGAGACGCTCACCATCTTTGTCAGCGTAGCAGCTTTTGTAGGGTCACCAGTGACTGTGCCCCTCTGTGCTTGTCCTACACTTTCTTTCTTTCTTTCTTTCTTTCTTTCTTTCTTTCTTTCTTTCTTTCTTTCTTTCTTTCTTTCTTTCTTTCTTTCTTTCTTTCTTTCTTTCTTTCTTTCTTTCTTTCTTTCTTTCTTTCTTTCTTTCTTTCTTTCTTTCTTTCTTTCTTTCTTTCTTTCTTTCTTTCTTTCTTTCTTTCTATCTCTTGTTTGTCTCTTTCTCAAAACTTGACAGTTTTGTATTTTAATCCCATCTAAAACAAACATATCTGCTTTTTAACGCACTACTTTGAATCTAATTGAATTTTAAATAATTAAAAAAAGAGTTGTTGTGGTTACAGTAGCAACATTTGAGGTTTTATGGATTAAACTTAAATTTACAGTAAAGAAATACTAATATATGGAAGTGCATATAGTGTCATACACGTAATTACAAAGCACCAAAACAAAAAATTTACAACATAAGATATAACATAAAACATAAAAAGTTAGGCAAATGCATATATTTAGAACTTAGTCATAAACCAATCCAAAACCATCATATAGGGAATTTTGGAAATGTCAATGATGTCTTTTTAGGGGGCGGTAAAAATTATGACAATTTTTTACAGTGTTCATTTTTCCCCCCCTTAATTACGTGCCGTATCTAAAGGTAAATTTTTTTACAAAGCTGAATTTTGCCAAGACTTTTTTGCCAACTTTTTGGGTAAAATAACAGTACTGTTGACATCCCATGCTATTATGGAGTTAATAATAAAGAGAGGCTGCTTGTCTATTTCAGTGGGGTTTCTACAACCTCATATTTCTTTATTCCTCATCCAGATAACAGACACTCCCACCTTAGTAAAAATTTTGACATCTTGATTCTGTCCGATTCAGTAAACAAAATGACAGTCATTCTGCATTAAAAATAGTACCTCTGACATCATGTATGAAATGAATCCCATCCAAACAGCACTTTAGCTGGTCCCCATGCGTCAGTCCCTTTTCTCTGTATCTCAAAATCAGTGATGGGCAAACTTGGTCCTTCCAGGCCACTTTCCTGCAGAGATTTGGAAATAAAACTCACCTGCCTGTAGCCTTCTAGTAGTCTTGAAGACAGTGATTAGCTGGTTTAGGTGTGTTTGATTAGGGTTGGAGCTAAAGTCTGAAGGAAAGTTGCCTGGAAGGGCCGAGTTTGCCCACCCCTGCTCAAAATCATTCTTGCTTCTTTTGACTGTGGGGCAAGGTGAGAGATGGCACAGGGGGGTATTTGGGTAATGTGTGGGTGTAAGAGGAAGGGGAGGGGTCTTTTTCCACTTGCTGAGCACAATCTTGACCTCCAGCTATGCTCTGAAGTGCAGACACACAGCAGTCGGTATCTGCCCTGCTCAAAGATCAACTGAGCTTGGCGGTCTTAAGACAGCTGTGGCCAGAAGCTGCTTGACCAGCAGTGACACAGGTACATGGAGATACTGTAAACAGAGCTGGAAGTGGAGATGCGACAGTGATAGTGAGATCACAATATGACGTTTAATATATGTTGAGTGATAATAGTAGGAGATTTAACATCTCAAAAACATACTAGTAACAAGGTGATACTTTATAACTTTTGCTAATATTTTGGTAGCTGATTACAATATCAACTTCATACCATAGTATACAATGTGGTAACCTGCAATTGTTTCTTTAAAGAACTGTTTATCCTTAAATTTAGTTTTGTTGGTGGAACTTAATATATTTGGGTTGATTCAGTAACATTTTTTTATTTTGATAAAATTCATGTGGACGTGTAGATGTTACAACATGAAGCTCATTTTTAGGTTACCATTTCTTCATGTCCAACAACAATACCTTGTACCATGTTTTGTTATTATGATGATGTTTTGCAAAATTTAGTGCTAAAATAAAGCGCCAAATTCAAAATTCAAAATCTGCATTTGAACAATTTAAGAAGAAAATTTAATAGCAGAAAAAATATATAAAAAATGCATTTTTGAAGTGAGATTTTTATTGAAGTGATTTTGAGAGAGAAAAACACCATTATAGCTTAGGATGACAGTCACAAGATAGTGTGTACTAGTCGTCATGCTTGTTAGTTTCTGCTCGGCTACTGTGATATTGCATTTAGCCCATGGCCTGTTGTAAAGCAGACTTCACACAGAATACTTCATCTGCTGCGTTTCCGTGGCAACTGGGCAGAAATGTACATGGCTCATCCCCTTATCACCAGACGACACTCCTGTTCCTGCCCCAGGACAGACCACATCCCCCCAAATTATTATATCCATATAGACACACACATTATGTATGTAAAGGCTCACATGACTACAGTTATTTTTAATCTCTAGCTAACATCCTGCTGCAATGACTACACATACTTGATCAAATCCAAATTGACCTTTATGGTTCTTCTATGGCATCGCTGTGAAGAACCTTTTAAGCACCTTTATTTTTAAGATACTAAAGGTTCTTTTTGGAACCATTTAGACAAAAAGGTAACATTTTTTTATTTTGATAAAATTCATGTGGACGTGTAGATGTTACAACATGAAGCTCATTTTTAGGTTACCATTTCTTCATGTCCAACAACAATACCTTGTACCATGTTTTGTTATTATGATGATGTTTTGCAAAATTTAGTGCTAAAATAAAGCGCCAAATTCAAAATTCAAAATCTGCATTTGAACAATTTAAGAAGAAAATTTAATAGCAGAAAAAATATATAAAAAATGCATTTTTGAAGTGAGATTTTTATTGAAGTGATTTTGAGAGAGAAAAACACCATTATAGCTTAGGATGACAGTCACAAGATAGTGTGTACTAGTCGTCATGCTTGTTAGTTTCTGCTCGGCTACTGTGATATTGCATTTAGCCCATGGCCTGTTGTAAAGCAGACTTCACACAGAATACTTCATCTGCTGCGTTTCCGTGGCAACTGGGCAGAAATGTACATGGCTCATCCCCTTATCACCAGACGACACTCCTGTTCCTGCCCCAGGACAGACCACATCCCCCCAAATTATTATATCCATATAGACACACACATTATGTATGTAAAGGCTCACATGACTACAGTTATTTTTAATCTCTAGCTAACATCCTGCTGCAATGACTACACATACTTGATCAAATCCAAATTGACCTTTATGGTTCTTCTATGGCATCGCTGTGAAGAACCTTTTAAGCACCTTTATTTTTAAGATACTAAAGGTTCTTTTTGGAACCATTTAGACAAAAAGGTTCTTCTATGGCATCGTGAAGCACCTTTATTTTTAAGAGTGAAGCACTGGTTTTCAGCTGGTTTCAGTACTGATGATAAGGTTGAATGAAGAATGATAAAAAAATGTTTCTTGAGTAGCAAATCATCATATTAGAATGATTTCTGAAGGATCATGTGACAATAAAGACTGGAGTAATGACCCTAGAAAAAAAATAATGTATTTATTTACATACATTTATTTCATACTGAGTATAGTTCAAATATGTTAACATATTTACTGACATATCGCTCACGACTTACTGATATAAAAATTATAATTAAACTTTATTTGGAGTACTACTTGTGCACAATGCACATTTCTTAATATTAAGTCTAAAATGTGTTTTAATGTCACTACTGATGAGGATTGTATGATCTTTGAATAATATCAGTCTTTAAATGCAAGGAATTTCAAGTATACTTGCAATAGTTGCACTTTAGCACAATCAGATATACTTCAGTATGTCTTTGTTGGACTTCAGCACTACTTCTGCACAATTAAAGTGCAGTAAGTACAAAATTAGTTGTTCCAATTTAGCAGACTTTAAGTATACCAGTTTAGTATATTATTAAAAATTGCATTTTTATTAAGTACATAAATATGTAAATATATTTGTATAATGCTTAGCATGAAATAAATGTATTTCAAATACATTTTAGTATATTTATTTTTTCACCAGGGGATGCTGAAAATTCAGCTTTGTCATCACAGAAATAAAATACATTTTAAAATATATTAAAATAGAAAACGGTTATTTTAAATTGCAATACTATTTTATAATATTACTGTTTTACATAACATACATTTTTTTACTGGCTCTACATTTTGAACATTAGTGTACGAACAATGCACTGAACCTAAAAAAAAGACACATTTAGTGCTTTGTACATTGAATTCATACTTACACAAAGTGCACATTCACAACTCACCTTGTGTCTTTGTTCTTTTGTAGTGTTCATATCCTGTCTGGGAAGACTTCAGTGCCAAGGCCACCAAGTTGCACTCTCAACTCCGGTAAGTTCAGTCTCCGGCTCACATCCGCACCTGTCATGTGAGGAGGGTTTTATTGAATGCTGAGAAAAGACATCGTCATTAATTTACCTCATTGTTTTTTAGAACCACGGTTTTAGCAGCAGTGGCATTTCTGGATGCCTTTCAGAAGGTGGCAGACATGGCGACCAACACAAGAGGTAGGCATGTATGAGAGCATGTGTGTGTGTGATTGAGTGGATTTGCTTTCTGTCCAGCATGCAGGGATATGTATATCTCATTATGAAGTATATGCATTGGATGAAACACTACTGGAGAGAGAACGATTACTGTAGACGGCGAGTGTCCAAAACCAAGGATTATAGAAGGTACAGAGCCAGACCCTCTCGATTTAATGCTCTCATCTGGCAAACAATGTGAGGATGTTTTTGTGTTAATGTTCCTATTCGTTATTTTTATGAATGTCTTGGTTAGGTTTTATCAGGAAATAATTAAACAGCTATATTATTAATCTACATCTCTGGTGAGTGTTGAACAGTCTGTTCACATGGCACAAGTAAGCGGATGTTGTAAATCCTTGACAATAATGGATAAATGAGAGGGAACAATGACGTGCCTCATAGCTGTTGAGAGGCTTGCTGGGTGTTTTTGGTTATTTATGGCATGGCGCTTTAGTAATGATTTGACAGAGTCAAGATCTTCAAGGAGAATCGACTGACGAAAATAATGTTGTTTGGAAATAAACCAGCAGTCTCATTATGATTATATTACTTTATTGGGCTTTTTTCTCTTCGTCTGGGGATTTGGATTTTTTTTTTCCATTTCATCTCATCTTGTGGCCTGCCTGAGGTAAAGAGTGTGTTTGAAGAAGTATGATGATCTGTGTTATTATGGGTTCATGTGGGCATGTTGTGTTTTTAATGAGCTGACGGAGCTGGGAGCCTTCCTCTGTGCATTGTAAAAGCAGTGAGGATCTCATCCGACCCCAACTGTGACTCATAGGCAGCTGTTTTAGATGGAGATTTTTGGGGTATAAAAAGCAAAGGGAGGCTTGAACAGAGAGTGAGAACAATTAACAAAAGGAACATGAAAAGTCTCAAGGCTATAAGAAAATGAGACAGCATATTTTATTACAACGATCAATTATTTTATTTTATTTTTTATTCATGTGTACAACCATGACCTGTGTGATACTGTTTTGCAATATTTTATTCATTATATTTCAGTTATTGTGGCAAACAATTTCACAACTGTGGAATCAATATAATTATTTAAGCTAAAATATTTTTTATTTTTTTATTTTTTTATTATTATTGCTATTAATGACAGTTATTAGACTTAGAATTGAGTCCTTAAAGAACAAACATTAGTTTCCTTTTTTGTCTCATACAGTGGTCAAAATTGTTCATTGTTCTCAAGCTTTTCATTTTTTCTTAGTGTGAATGAAATTTATATACTGCAGTGTTCTCTTTTCAATCTATTTTCCAATAATAATAGTCATAAATTCTTAAAATGCGTCTTGAATATAAATGTAATTTGTTTGTATTCCAAATGCACATTTTTTGACTCATTTTAAGCATTAATTTCACAAAATGTATTAATTTTTTTTCTTCTTAAATATTTACTAAATCATATATCTGGTCAATTCACATTACTGTTGTTCACTGTTGTCTCATTTCTCTGACCAGTTAATTACAGTTTGTATAAATTATAGATGACATGTAGTTATGTAGTTCAGAGCTGGTGTCTTGGATGTTGGTCAGATGCTGCATCACACTCATTTTTTTCTTTAACACTGTTTTAGTGATTTGATATGCAAGCCTTTGGGTCAAATTTGATTTCCTATGTTGTGATTTAGACATGCATCAGCCACAGCCCACATCCAGCCTTTGGCTCAGAATAGACTGAGACTGACTCTAGCTGAAAGGATGACAACGACTTTCACAGGTTTACATTTCAGAATGATATGAGCAAAATAGAAAGGGGATTAGCATGACATGGAGTAGATAAAAGTGGAGTAGATAACGTGGAGCTTGAGCTCGTGGCACCGGTCAGGGCTCTTAAGTACAGGTCTCTCTGGGGAAGGAGGGGTCACATACTGCTCAGTGATCATCTGACCTGATTGATGTGAATTTGCTGAATGCCAAAGGGAGAGTGGCCGCCAAGGTCTGACACACCTCACAGACGTGCCCTGGAACAACTTCAAAGAGAGAGAGAGAGAGCGCGGCAAGCAGACATAGTCTATGGATCAAACAGTGTGTGGACCACAGGGCTGCTGGAAGACAAAAATTAAGAGATGGAGATATTTTAAAGGTGACATATCATGCAAATCTGACTTTTCCAGGTTTTAAGGGCTATAATCAGGTCCCTGGTGCATCTACCAACCAAGGAAACGTGAAAAAGATTAACCCAATCACTTTGTTTAGGTAAGCCTTTTTCTGCAAGCGTCTGAGAAAACGAGCACGTCTGATTTCGCTCCCTTGGTGACGTGGCAAAGGGATCTCATTATAATACTACCACCCCTTAATCTGTAAACTTCCACTCAAGGCACCGTCATTTGATTTCACAAGCGACAACGGTGTACCAGTTCTAATGCCATGGCGAACGTTTGAGCAAAACATGCTAACTGTTCTGTCTTTGGCTGCACAGACGAGCACAGAACAATATTTAGAGTCCCAGCCTCAGAGGAGACAACAGAGCAGTGGATTTATTGATTTATTTAGGCTACTGTATATTGCTGCTGCCACACAGATCTAAAATAAACAAGCGATTTATTTCCCAGCTGTTTACCTTCACAGACATAACCGACTGTTTTTGTAACTTGTGTGTTTCTAATGTAAACTTGTGTGTGAATGAGAACTTAGTTTAGTACTCGCATGCTGTGACAGCCGCTTTCTGTCCGTGTGCATCAGATGTGTGCGCTCAGAAAACCTTATATCTGAAGTTTAAACTCATATGGTTTAAAATGATTTCAGCGCGATAAACATGATAATCAGAACCAAAACAGATGTTTTTAGCAGATACGAGCTGTAAAGGCGCAGCTCTATTCTGGAAAAGGGGACGGGGAGCAGCAGCTCATTTGCATTTAAAGAGACAGGCCCGAAAAACAGCTTGTTTCTGCTTCCACTCAAAATAGGCATTTTCAAAATTATATAATAAATGATCTGTGGAGTATTTTGAGCTGAAACTTCAAAGACACATTCTGGGGACACCAGAGACTTTTATTACATATTGTAAAAAGGGGCATAATATGTCACCTTTAATACAGAAAGAGAAACAAAAGGAGTGAATATGAGGGCATGGATGGGGTGCTGTGTGACATGATAGAAGTCAAGTGAACTCAGATAGGACAATGTATCATAATATATTCAACCAACACTTTCTCACTCCCAACTCATCACATATTGATGCTTGGTCAGGACCTTTTGGCGTCACTTTTTGACGCTCAAGGTACCCCTTTAGCGTCACTTTTCGACATGCAGGGTCCTCCATTGTTTTCAGTTGTTTTGAAATAATTGAAATAATTTTATAAAAATGTATACTTTCATTGGATCACCTAACCCCACCCCTACCCTAAACCTACCCACTTCTGAACAATATAAAACACGTAGCAGGCAAATAAAAGTACAGTCACAGGTATTTATTGCAAAAACTGACCATAAAAAAGCAGTATAAAAGCATTACAAATAAGTCCTGTTACATTCCAAGTCTTCTGAATCCATACAATATTTGAATCCATAAAATGATCCCACTCCGTTAAAGCGCTCGCATCTCATTCAAAAAGATACTCCCATACATTAGCATGACGCAATCGGTCACGACTCGAGACCAACAAGAGCCAATAGCATTTCACAACCAAGGCTGACGTAAGGCTTCTTCTGGCGGCATTTTTTGAATTTGTGCACAGACTGCACACAGGATCTGAGCTTTACGGCAGATGCAGACGGTGATCGCATCTATTCCTCTCACAAATCTATCTTTTTGCCTTGGAAGACTTTGAATATTAATATTTTTTTGAATAAATTATGACTGTAGCTGTATCTGCCTGTTATATTTTGTGTTTTATTGACAAATGGTATAGGGGCAGGGGTTGGGTTACATGCTCATAAATGTGTAAATAGTGTAGTGTAAATAAAACTGGTGTGACTGTTTACATTGAAAAATCAAATTGCAACATATATGCAATAATGGCAGTATTATGACCAAATATATAATTTAATCATGGTGATAAAATTGTATAAGTCAAGGGTTTCTTATTTAAAGCAATGGAGGACCCTGCACATCGAAAAATTATGCTAAAGGGGTAGGCTACCCTGTGCGTCAAAAAGTGATGGCAAATGATCAAATGAAAATTAATTTGGCAAATTAAATTTTTGGAAACTCCCATTTTAGCAGGGCTGTCATCAGACAATCGCGAACATTGTGAGAAAAGAAACACACTAAGGTTCTAATTGGGGCCTTGAAATTAGTAACAGTTTTTTCCCCCTCTATCCTCTAGTTTTTAGTTCCTCTAGTTTTTCATTCCTCTAGTATCCATTATAAAATCTGATTAAAAAATTTGTATCTCATATTCAAAAACTAAACGTGCCTCTAACTACATTTTTGCAAAACTTGAATAATGCACCTATATATAGTATATATCAGAGGTGTCGAACGTCGGTCCTGGAGAGCCGCATTCCTTCAGAGTTTTGCTTCCACCCTAATCAAACACATCTGATCAAGCAAATCAAGGTCTGAACGGTTTCTAGGAAGCTACAGGCAGGTGAGTTTTTATTAGGGTTGGAGCTGAACTCCGCAGGGCTGAGGCTATCCAGGACCGGAGTTCGCCATCACTGGTATATATAATTCTCTTCAGTTTACAGGTGAAATGAACACTAGAGGCAGTAAAACTCCAATAACTTTTATTCCTTTTTTACACAAATTATGATTACCTTAGTGGATGATTTGTAAAATTTAATATTTTGATGTTTGCATCGCTTAACCAGCTCCATGTATTGCTTTTCTGATGTAAACTTGCCCAGTTGCTCACCTGGTACAAGTTTCAAACTTGTAATGTGGAGTCTTGTGAAACAGAAGTCATGATAATAAATTTATTTTTTTATTCTTATGTTTGTTTTTGTTAAGTCTATCAGTTCGGTTTAGGTTCAGGTTTAGTGCAAATGGTAGGTAATTTTCAAAAGCGAAGGAGGATTAACAAACT